TTTCCTGCAAAGGATTAGACGCTCTCGTATCTGATTTGTACCTGCAAGTGTTTTATGATCATACTGTATTAATTCTAGCTTTCTGGAGGGTTGTTAACCATGGACATGAGTGTACCCGCTGTTGTATCTTGATTGTATCTCCGTCGACGAAGTGAAATTGGCTGTAATTGAATGGAAGCTTGACGTTGTTAACTTTCTCTATCGCTGCTGTTTTTCAACGATTATATTCTTTATCACAGTTTTGATTTCCTCCAGACCGATATCTGCTGATTCCGAGAAACCGAGTGATTAGATATTAGATGAGTTAGAAACTGACGTTTTTTTTCAGTTAAAGAACTTAAGTAAGGTTGCGAGGTAAGCGCTTTCGTAACTCATGCAGTTTCGGGTTTCATGTACGTGGCTTCCTGTTGTTAGTTTCAACATTTGCGAGAATGGTGGGCGATGAAGAAGATTGGAAACGGTATCGAACTGGATCTATATATCGCATCAGACTCAGAAATTTTTTGTAAGTTTTTTGTTTTGGCTTTTGCTTTGTAATTTTGGTTTCACCTGTGATTTTTTGAACTACATATGTACCGTGGTGACAGTGGTCAGCTTGGAATTCCGGAGGTGCAGGGTCGCATTTGCTCAAGGGACAATCTTTGTCCTCACCGCGAATTCTCTTGAGCATGGGATTAACCCCATGTTGCTTCAACACAATCAAGTGAAAAACGAGTGATAAGTCCATGACTTTGGTGAATAATTGCGACAGCATGATGTTTTGACCTGGTCATGCTAGAATGGACGACTTGTACGGCCACGCTGTTCTATACGAACGTTTCTTTTGGCTGCGCTTCATCTTGACCCTCCTAATAACTGACTATCCAATGTAGTAATCGGTACAAATGGGCAGCCCCAATCGGTTTCTGATCCCTCATCCATCAAAGGTGAAATTGGCGTCCTGTTGCTGTGTCCGAAGTTGTTCAGAAACCCGTATGTGGTCTTTTCCTGCTCTACTCTAACAATGTCTGTTAATCTCCACGGTTGTGTTCGGGAATGCGCGGAAGTTCGATTTTGTGATGCCGAGACTTACACTCATTTTCACTAGTCATCGGAAACACTGATTGTCATTTGGCCTGAATGGAGTTCGCGCAAGAAAAAAGACAGTGATAAACGACTCAGTACGTCAGCGAATTATGGCTACCTCTATAACATATGGAAGGACAGGACTTTAAGAATGGATACGATGATTCCCATTTTGAAAGCAACCATGTTTGCAGTGCGTATCTACAGTCTCGTCCTGAAATCCTCGTCTTGAGGTGTCATTAAGCTTATTTAGACAGCTTCCAACAACGCTGTTTTCGCAGCATCCTCATGGTACCAACAAGTCACGAATGAGCAGGTGCTGACGCTCATCGATCTGTGAAAACTATAAAATAATCTCTGGGACCGGTGCCTGATTTGGTTTGATAAAACGGCCTAAAATACAGAATCGGAATATATCATAGAAGTCTCTTCTTGGGAACCGTGTACTGGCCACAAACGCACTGGAGGATAATACAAAACGTGTAAATACCTCATTGAGGTAGATCTGCTTGCGAAAAGAAATACAACCTTTGCCGCAGCAGTGAAAGTTACGTAATATAAATCTGAAGCACCATTTCTGAGTCCACAATAAGACATAATAAATCCATGTTACTCTGCTGCTTGAACTCTGTTAACCTCAAATGACAATGACAAAACAATACTGCTTCAATGTTAATCCTCTGTGTGAACGCTTTCCTTTTACGTATTGAGTGATCAGTATTCATCCCTGTTGCGTTTTGCTTTTATTCTGATGCTGTTTTGTTGTGTATCGACGCTGCCACGCTAGATTCTGGTGATTTTCGTTTAAAGTAATGCCTTGCATTTTTATATGGCAGAGCGTGTGATATAAATATGGTACTAACTTTTGTCGTGTTATAGAACGTACAGTGAGTTGGATATGAAACCTCATGAAAATCTGAACTTTATTTTTGGCCCAAACGGAACAGGTACTTTTCGAAGCAGTCACTAAACGATCCAGTTTATTTGCAAATGCCCAGGCAAAAGTTCAATCATCTGTGCTCTATGTATCGGATTGGGTGGATCACCGAAAGCTCTCGGACGATCGTCCTTCCTTGAAGATTTCATCCAACATGGGAAAACTAAAGCTACAATCGAGATCTCTTTGTAAGCTATTGTTTTCGTTCTCTTCCGTCTTATTTGATCATGTCAAGTGTAAACTGTTGTGGCAGAGTCGACCCGAGAGCCAGGGCTAACATTCATGTTGTGCGGTTTGAAATGAATGCCAAGAGTAGCAACTCGTTTTTCATTGATGATGTGCACAAAACCAGGGATGAGGTAAGCAGTGATGTTATATTTATGAAGCGCTTTTGTTTTTCGAGTGTCTTCGAGCATACTTCTTTCAGGCTGGCTGGACATGCTTTACTTTAATCGTACACGAAGCTGTGCTTTCAGTGCCAAACATTTCTTCATTTATATCTGAATTAAGATTAGGAAAGACCTCTAACGAAGGTTCTGCAATGTTAAGGTTTTCGGTGGGGGGGGGGATGGTTTTTCTTTTTACCCATTCTGGGTTTGTCTCTTTTCTCTAGTAAACCTACCTTCGGTGTACTTCGTCTTGTTATTGCTCGAATGAAGTGCGCTTTTCAGCTGTTCCTACTGTTGTTTCTGCTTTCACTCTACTGCACCCTTAGCAGCAATGAACCATTCCCAATTGGATTATTCTTACTGAAAACTGTTAAATTCACTCACCTTCACAGTTAGTTTGGGCTGTCCCTTGATGAACCTCTAACGGAATAGAGAATTTTTTGTTTCGCTGCATGTACTTTTAACCATTGTGGTAACTTAGTCAGATGTAGCTCTGCTAAGTCTAACGTACTGCTCTAAAACTTGCTTCAGTCTCGTGCTATGCCATATTTTCTTCTCTAATGTTCTGCCATAGGCATCTTAAAATTCGTTTATTTTTAATCCAGGTGTTTCCTTTTGGATTTCAAGGGCATGTATTTCAAAAGTCTTTCAGTGATCTCGGGCAACCACCAAACGCACAAACGTAGGAATGGTTTTGGATGCCAAAACTTCTTTATAATTAAGGCACTGATGCGTCGCGGTCTGGCCTGAACCATGTTTCCCATTGCTTCTCAATCTGATTTGTCTTCAGACTCTTACCGGTGAATGGTCATTACTTGTCCAAATCAGCACAAATTTTACGTCTCGGTCTGGAAAAGGATTGGCTCGAAATCATGGGTATCTCAAATTCCTAACATTGTCGAGCCTCATCACACCGTCAATCCTTTTAGGAAGGAAGCCTTGCTGTAGCTGCTCGTATCTGGGGTTGTATACCTGGAAGTCATCATAAATGAGGGTACGTTCTAGAAAACACATGACTTAACTACTATTCAACTTTGTTCATCACCACAAACAGCTTTAGCTCTTTATCATTTGACACAAAGTTAGATTTTTTAGCTTTAGACGTTGTTGTAGCCGTTGAAGGCCTTTTGTGACTAAACTTCCTTCAGGTTAAAAGGTTCATTAGTCGGTATCGAATACAGGTGGAAAATATCTGCCAGTTTATGGCTCAGGATCAAGTGACGGAATTTGCGCGTCAGTCACCTCAGGCTCTTCTACAGAATACCGAAAAGGCGGTGATTATTCCACGGTTGACTGTTATAACTGCCTCTTAAATCGATGTTCTGTTGTAGGTCGGATCCTCTGATCTTTTCGCTCGACACATGCAGCTGATTCAATGGCAGAAAGAAATTAACGACATGAAGGAGGTGATTGTTTCAAAAAAGGAGACATTGAAAAAGTTGAAAAATCGAATCACACATCTGGCCCCTGTTGTGAAAGCACGCATGGAATGGGAGAAGAGGTGCGACGAGGTGGAATTACTTCAGAACAAACAGTACTGGCTGGTAACACCACTTATGCCCATTATTTTAGTCTAGTCACTAGTTTGGTTGTAAGTTTCCATTAGATACAGTGCCATTCCGGATGTTTAGTTTTTGATTTTTCTCCTTGCAGAGGGTCACAACATGAATCCTGCGAAATCGGTGATTCGCGGTGGAAAATTTTGGAACAGGTTCCGCTGCCTTTCCTGTTCGATAACATTCAATGATTCGTAACAGTTTTCTGCCAGCGTTGTCTGGCTCTCACGGTGTCAATATTTTCGATGTTTCCTAAATACCCATGGAACGTATGGTCGATCTGTCGCTTTCGCAGACATATAAAAGTGCATAAGCAGAACGTCCATTGGCTTCTGGTATCCGCTGTATGCACAGCTTGTCAACATTTTTGCTATAAGAAACCGGTTAGTGCACTGCAGAAAGAAATATTTTTCTTCGAACACAGATGTGTCTCTACTTCGTCTTCCAGGTTACTTGCTGGCCTCCTAGTCGACATCTGCCGTCTTTCGGCTTCAACACGAGAAGCCCCCGGACTGGAGTAAATGCTGTATGCTTAACCAAATTGTCTAACAGGGCCAACTTCCATTTCTTAATCTCCACATTTGCTGAGGTCACCTGTTCCCAGAGAAAAATATAATCCTTCTTTATGTGGCCCTACCATTTACCCTTCAATATGCGTTGGAGCCACCGCAGCTATACAGAGTTTAACCTCTTTCTTAGAACATCTGTTCCATGCAGTACAACAGCGTCAACTTGAGAGAGGGAAGGTGCGGGCAGATTTTCAGGGAAAGAATAACTCCTTTCTCAGCTCAGACGTTTTTCAGGTTTACAAAAGAACTTGATTCTTGGGTGACCATCTTATTTACCTTTAGTTTTATACTGATATCGTTGGAGCTGAGATACTTAAAGGTATGTATCCAATAGGACAGCTGTGCTGAGTGAATTTTTCATAACTATTGACTGACAGTGTCAAGTAAGAGGCCGGTTTTCACAGCTCAGTTGGATACGGAGGTGATAGAGCCCGTTTGTACTACATCATAGCACAGTATCTGATAAATTAGGATATTAGGATAATTACTTTAGGCAAGCAAGATAAATTTCGCAGGATATCTTAAACTGCGCCTTACCTCCAGAATGAGATTTTCTTCTTATCACTGACGTCTTAGACTGCCAGGATCAGCACTGTTTTGGAAGAGAAGGTCGAGAACAATATTGAAAGTCAACAATGAAAGCACATCTACCTGGCGAAGTTCATGGTTAACAGGGAACCGCTCAGGTAGCGTTTCTTTCACCTTAGCAGTAGATAGTTCCTACATATATTTCTTCCAAAAGAGAAACGATTTGCCCAGGTTTCCCATGGCTTTTCAAGATTTTTCACATAGTCCGGCGGTAGAGTGAATGAAATGTAGCCTTAAGGTTGAGGAAACTGGCAAAACAAAACATCTGGAATCATCGGCATTTCTCAGTGATCCTGCAGAGTGAAAATTTTGTCGGCGCAGAAATATCCTTACCAGAAGCCCGCTTGATTTAGGCGAAACCACTCATTAACTGCCTATCTCGGCTTTTCCGGAATAATAATTTCAAGAATAATTTCCCGGGGGTTGACTGTAGTGTGATGTCACTATAATTGGAACACTCGGTCCCCGAACCCCTCTAAATATAGGGACAGTTACTTCTCGCATTCCGCGGGGTAACGTTTGTAGGCCCACATTTGATGAAGAGCATGGACCTGTTCTTCCAATCCCATTTCTCTATACTTAACTAACTCCGGATGAGTTCGATCCGTGCCACAGTTTCTTCGATTTGAAGTGCGGCAAGGCATTTTTGATTTTTGATTTTATAGGTGGATCTGTACTAACTTCTAGTTGTGGCAAAAAGTTAACAGTCGAAAATGACGAATTTGGAGTGCAGTCGTTTGACAACTCCTGAAAATGTTCAGCCCATCGTTGGAGACATTCTTTCTTGACCTGAAATGGAACATCCTTAACATTTTGGCAAAGGACAGATAGAGTCACCTGCTTACCAGAGATCTGTCGCACCCCTTTGAGCATTGTTCGTCAGTTATCTTTTCTGGCTGTCTTGTCGAGGTTTTTCTTCCTCCAGGCAAAATTCCCTGCCCCGCCTGTCGCTCATGTTGACTATTCAGCAATACGATGTTGAGCTCTACAGGTGAATTAAGGTGTTGCAAATAATCCTTTACACTCCGATTGCTGTGCAGTCTGAATGTCAGGGTCTTATCCATAACCAAGAATAGTTTATCTGTTTTCTTCCTGACCCTAAGTACGTTTTTTTGCAGCGGAAATGACGACTTGAAGTCTTTGTAAACTTCCTTGCTTCTCGACTCGTCACTAAAATAACTCTCTGCCTTTTTTGTAGGCCGACCACACTGCTTCGTCATATATTGGCCTGTCGACTTAGACTAGTTAATGTGTTTAAACCAGATAACGTGAATGCGACAGAGCTAATTCTAGGCGAAGTTCTACTTGGATCATATGGTGATTTGACGCAATGCAGGCGCTAGCCTGGAGTTACGAGTTTCGCCATTTGCGGTTAATGGGGATGTCTAGCTGTATTTTTAGGCTTTCGTAGTGGACAACTAGATAGTCTGAAGAAAGCACTTATATGGAGGAATAAGGGTCTCGCCGATGATTAAGCTGTTTTTCACACTAGAATTTGGCAGAGAATTTGTTGTCATTCATATTATCAATACCGTGAAGGCCTTGTCATCAGTTTTATTCGATGTACACCTTCGCGTTGAGATACTTTCTTAATTACTTATGGCAGCCAGAATTTTGTCACTTTCGGTTCTTTTTAAATTTCCACGCACTTAAACCCTTATTTGTTTTATGTGCTTAACGCTTATTTTTCGTTTGTCATCTATGGTTTACTCTTATCCTGAATTTTTCTAACAGGATTTCTTAGAATTTTGAAAAGGCCCATGAAGAATATACTAAAGCAAAAGATGCGTATAAAGAAAGCGAGCATCAACTGAATGAACGACTGCTGAGTTTTGCGTCACAGCAGGAGGTAATCACGCGATTGCAGCGAGAATGTCAAAGCTGGATGTCTAAGGAAGAACAGGACGTGAGCGATTTTCAGACAGCAAGACAAAGTTAAGTAAATATAAAGTTTTCTTTTAGGTGATTTCTTTCCGCACGGAGATGAACACACATGAACAGTTACAAAGACAGATGGTGGAGATCAGCAAAAATGTAAATCGTCCTTCAGTGTTCAGGCTATCCGTCAGTATATGACCGACGAACTGCGTTTTCAGTGCGGAAAGCAATTCGACGAACTTCATATAAAAGACCAGGAGATAAACCACAGTCGCTGTACCACCGAAGTTTTGCGCAAAACCATCCAGGGACTTACTGAAGACATTAATAAGATCGATGAAGCCCAGGAAGCAGAGTTGACGGTAAGCGCCCTTTTTGCCATTGGTAGCCTTTTTTCAAGTTTTTATTTGATGAAAAATTTGGCTGTACCATTGGAAGAAAAAGATATCTAAATAAATTTCAAAAGTCAACTTAGATACCGATATTTGGCACATTTTCATCTCTTTGTATTTACATATGTTGCCATAGACTGATAATCCGTCTTTTCTGATATGGACTGCGATTTGTGATTCACTCGAACTGCTTAACGCTGAACTGATGTCGACTGATTTGTGGTTCAGTCAGAGCCGGTCTTACTGCAGTTTTATCGGTTTATTATAAGTCTAATTTTATACTTAGGTCTTAGTCTCCTGCATATATTATGTAGATTGAAAATATTTTTATGGGTGGGTGTTCATGCTTAAAACTGAAAATCGTATAACAATGGTTTATTTATACACAGCGCAAACGAATAAGTTTATCAGTCAGATGATGGACCAACACCGACGTTTTTACTCGTCTCTCAGGAGCCTTCTTCAGAGTGATCCGAGTTGGTTTCTGAAGTTGATTGTGTGGTCTGTAGCCATTGTGGTGCTTGAGCCAAAGGTGTGTGTTTGGTCCATGTTGTTGGTTAAGTGGATTTTGGGCCACAGGATTGTTAAGGCTTATCCAATCCGCGCAGAGTTCGTTGTCCCTGTTGACATGGTCACAGGATTGGATAATTTCGTCCGCTTAGCCGGTTTCTTTTTAGTGCAATCTGACCATTTGGTAGGACCTGACGTTTTTGTGTCGCATGTTGCACAATCCCCGACGTCTTTTAGCATTATTCTTTGACGGTCTTATGAGCGAGAGCTTGTTTCCTTCTTGGACAACTTGCGGCCACAAAGCATCCATCACGTGTCTGTCATCATCCACTGCAGTGGCAACGAGGAAAACACCAATAAACTGGTGAACAGGGGTTGTAGTACGCCACTTTTAAAAGGTGGACAATAGGCATTCTCCAGTTGTTGGGGCATTACCTTATTGAACCTTCCGGAAAAGGTCTACGCAAAGGTGTCCTAAAGCAGGTTCCACGGAATGACTGACTCTAAGATGGAAGAAGAGTAGCGTGGCTTCATCTCAGACTCAAGCAACTCTGACCAGATCTTTGCTTTACAGCAGATTGTTATCAATTCTGGAAGTTCGCTCATCTGGTTTACTACACGTGTTTTGTTTACCTACACAAAGCCTGTGACCGAATTCCACGCTACAAACTATGGGTGTCCCTGCAAGCATCTATGGAATCGATGGCCAGTTGCTGCAGGCCATAGAATCAAAACATATCCTGATAGCAGGTGTGTGTCAGAGTATTCGCGTTAAGTCGAAACTTTTCAGCGTTGGCTCTAGTCTTCGTCAAGGCTGCATTCTGTTCCATCTCTTGTTTGTGTTGTACATTGATAGAATAGTCAAGCGTAGCCCGAGCGATGTGGGTATCATCGTAGGAGATGTCGAGACGAGAAGGTTGCTATTTACGGACTCGGCCTTGTTTTGTTGACATCCTTTGAAACTGATTTCCAGCGCTCCCTGGAATGGTTCGCAGCTTAATGCGACGTGGCGGGCATGCTTGTCAATCCTAGTTCTCGTTTTCCTTCCGGTCACACTCTGCTGAGAAAAGGAGAGACACTTAAGCGAGTGGAAAAGTTCGCGTAGTTCAGTATCATGTGTATTGGTGATAGAAAATGGGAATAACATCTGGAAATTGACCGATGAATTGGTTTATCCAGCAATGTTCTCCGTGAACGAACTTGAACCGTTGTTATTAAAGCGGGACCGTTTCTGAACGTCGAGTTGTCTGTGTACAAGTTGAGTTTCATCGCTATGCTCATATGTAATCATGAATCGTGGTCCATGACTGATAAACTGTTTAACTATCTAGGGTCAAAGCGGCTAAAATGGGCTTTCTTAGACGAATGTGTGGCCTGACGGGTCTTGACATGGTGCAGAGATAAGGTATTCTGGAGAACTTATGTATAAAAGCTGCTTCTCGAGTTTGATTAGTCACAGCTGCTACTTGCTCGACCGACCGGCGAAAGACTCCCGGGAAGGGAAAGTATGTTCTAGAGCAGTAATCTCGAAGGTCTTTGCTCTGCAGTCAGCTTATTTTCTGGCACCTGATCTGGAACGTTGGAGACGCTATCTGATGCGTCTTTCTATCGATCCAAGAGAATAAGCGGTCATCATAAATGACTGGTAGATACCGGTATGGGGCGATTGCCATTCTAGGTGATGAGATATTTTAAACTATATTGTTGTTCAGGTAGTAATTTTCATTTTTATTTACAGTAGTACTTTAGTAGATTATGTAGAAGGTTGTGTAATGCACTCTATATTTGTGTAATTGTGCCATGATTACGCTACACCGTTTGTTTCGAAACGCGTTGGTAGTAAGCTACTAACATTTATTTTTTTCTGATGTCCTAAACCATGAATCAACGAACAGGCTACAATTTTGATAATTAGTCCAGAATTGGAAACGTTTCGTCATGTTTATTTTATACATTGTTGTATAATATTGTATTGTCTGGTTTTAATAAATGGTATTAAATTTAATGTTTCTTTACGGCGACGGTGAAGAGCAGTATAATAGATAATATAATTTTGTATAGTGCAAACTAGTTTATTTTGTTGTTATATATTTTTACTTATAATAACAGACTACTGAGTAGAACTTCGAACTATTGTTTTAGCAAAAAATTGCAGAAATTAACCTGGAATGCGAAAAAATTACCGATTGCCTGTGCGAGGAACGCGCAGCTAAGCGAGAGGTTGAACGGCGACAGATGCAAGATAAGAATATGGCAGAAAGTAGCGACTGATACTTGTTTTATTTTTGTCATAAGAACTTTTGTTTAATACTTTTTTTCAGGGCTGGAACGTGACCTGAAGCACTTCCTTGATGTGAAAGAGGGGAAATTAAGGTTTTTGGAAGTACATTTCAATTCTGAGTACCGAGCATACATGTGGTACCAGGAGCACAAGGAGAAGTTTTCCGGTATGGTGTACTTTCCATTTCTGACGGTAGGTATAAATTTCTAATATCTCCGTCTATGGCTAAATTGATTTTTTTTATAGATAGATGTGCCGTGCGCGGAGTACTTAAAATTCGTCGAAGCAGCGTTGACTTTGCGCGACATCTTCAGCT